TGGGTGGTTTGGTTCCATTGATTGGGTATGGAGCTATACTGCTTCTCCATTTATTTATATGTTCATATCCCTCACCAAGTTTTGTGGCTTTCTTCCTATATATCTTCACAAGTTTGGTTATATTAATTCTTACCAGGTTTTTTTTTTTTTTTAAGGTATGTATGTATGTATTTATTTATTTATTTGACAGACAGAAATCACAAGTAGGCAGAGAGGCAGGCAGAGAGAGAGGATGAAGCAGGCTCCCCGATGAGCAGAGAGCCCGATGCAGGGCTTGATCCCAGGACCCTGGGATCATGACCTGAGCCGAAGGCAGAGGCTTTAACCCACTGAGCCACTCAGGCAACCCTCTTACCAGGTTTTTTACGTCATTACTCTATTTCTCCTGGGATGCATTCTAAATGATCTTTACTGAACTCCGACAAAGATACTGATTTTTATAAGGGAGTTATTTATTTCAAAATCATCCAGTTTAATAACCTTCTTATTAGTCCAATAGTTTATTGATTCTCTTTGGTTTTCCAGAAGGATATAACCATCATTTTAAACTAATGATGTTTGACCCCCTTTCCTGTACTTAGATCTCTCATTAGTTTTCTTGTGTTAATATGGTATCTATGGCATTGCCCAGCATAGTAATCACAATGCTATTAACATTTAAGTTTAAATTTCATTTACATTAAATGAAATAAAAAATTCAGATCCTCAATTGCACTAGACACATCAAGTCCCCAGTAATCACTTGCAGCTTGCAGCTATCATTTAAGAACATTTCCATCATCACAGAAAGTTTTACTGGATGGCTGCTAGAACTTTCAGATCAATATTAAATAATAATGGTGAAACAGGCTGTCCTTTTTTTTTCTTTCCTACTATAAAGTGAATACCTCTATGTAGTGATTTCCTGTTCAATGATGTTGAGTTTTGAATTCAAGTATCTAGATACGTTTTTTTATTGTGCTGAAAAAGTTGTATCCTATTCCTAGTTTCCTAAAACTACATATTTTAAACATTTGGAATGGATAATGAATTTTAATACCCTCTTGGAATAAAAAAATTTTGCTATGTAAGAGACAAATTCCAACTCATTCTTCAAAATTGTCTTACTTATACTGGTTCTTTTTAGATACATGGCTGGATTTTGTTTGACAGTATTGTATTAGATATTTGTCATCAATGAGATTGATCTCAAATAGTCCCTACTTCTAGTGTCTTTGTCTAGTTTTTTAAAACAACAGATTATGTAATTATTAGAACATGAATTAAGATGATTTTTCTCTATTTGCTTTGTATGTTTTACATATGGGTCTTCTGTCCCTTAAAGTTCTGCAGAATTGGGTGAAAAGAATCTGGCTCTGGTACTTTGGCTGAATTTTCTTGTCTTTATTTTCCAGATCATGCATGTCATCTTCCCCTGTGTCTAATCGCACTGCTAAATCCATCTATTAAATTGCAATTCAGTGAATAAACTTTTTCAACTCTGGAATTTACACTAGATTCTTCTGTAGATCTGCTTTTGTTGAATGGTCTTCCCCTTGGTCTCATTGATCTTTCTACACACTTTATATATGTTTATTTACATGATATTTCAAATTGTTCTCCAGTCCCTGTTTCTTGCTTGTTCTGTTTCTTTCATCCATCTTCATATGGTTGGGCATTTGGTGTTGTGAGCCCTTCTTCATAGGGGGTTGTTGGCTGCAGGAGTGCCGTATGTTGGGTTAGATGGGCATTGCCCCTGCCAGGGCCAAGGGATCAATGGTTATGGACACATTTTGGGGTTTGGTTCCTGATTTGGTGCTTCTGTATCATGTGGGTGGTAGAACATCTTATCTTTACTTCCCTGCTTCTTTGAGCCACTAAGCAGCTTTTTCAAATCTAGTTAATGTGTGGTATAGCCCATTAGAGCTGAATTTCTGCAGGTGGCTCTGCTCTTGCCTGCTGCCTTGCACAAGCTGATGTCCTGTGTCTGCATCAGTGTTGGGATCTTGGCCGGCAGACTCCCAGGACTAGAGCCTCCACAGCTTTGCTTTCTGCTTAGATTTTGCATTCCCTTTTTTGTTTCTATACCTGAGGGTTTCCTTCTTTTGAGCAGTGTCACCCATTATAATTTTTTAAAAAGATGTTATGTATATATGTATGTATGTTTATAGAGTGGGAATGGGGCAGGGGCAGAGGGAGAGGGAGGGAGAGGATCTCGAGCCGATTCTGTGCTGAGCATGGAGCCTGCTGTGGGGGTTGATCCCATGACCCCCAAATTATGACCTGAGCAGAAATCAAGAGTTAGACACTCAACTGACTGAGCCACTCAGGCACTCCTGCAAATTTAAAAATCATATTTCAACCAGAATTTCTGGATCTATTATATTGAATGCAGGTCCAGAAATTGTTTTAGATTTCTAAGTGGTTGATTCATTGATATTAATTAATTAATTAATTAATTAAAAAGATTTTATTTATTTATTTGACAGAGAGAGACACCACAGTAGGTAGAGAGGCAGGCAGAAAGAGAGAGAGAGAGGAAGAAGCAGGCTCCCCGCTGAGCAGAGAGCCTGATGCGGGGCTCGATCCCAGGACCCCGGGATCATGACCTGAGCTGAAGGCAGAGGCTTTAACCCACTGAGCCACCCAGGTGCCCCTATTGATTTTATTTTTAAGTAAAGGCAAGGAAAGTGGGAGAGAAGTAGGTATCAACTTATGCTTTTTATTTTCTGGGTTATGTTTATCATCAAAGAATATATTTAAATAATTTCTAAATTTTGGCATTAATAAGTTGGTATTTTGTTTGTGCCTTAAGACAATAAATGTTTAGGGCTGTTCATAGCCATTTAAAAACATATCTATATATCTGCTCTATATGTTTAATTTTTTATTATTCATTTATTATTCATTCGAAAACTTAGAAGGTCATGTTAGCGTGTTCCACTATAAATCCACTATAAGACTTTTAGGAAAAAAATCTTGAAAGAGGAAATACATACTATCAAAATGAAAATAGATGATATCTTAAAACTTGGGACCTAGAGATAGGAAAGGAGAATGGGGAAAGTCCAGGAATCTAAATTTATTTTATTTCACAGAGGTGACTCCATAGAGACTGTTACCTCCATAAGGCTGAGAGAAAAATGTAGATTTGACTATGTTGTATCCTAAAATGTATTTATCTCTTCTGTTCTCATAGTTTCTTACTAAATGGAAATGAGCAGGTGAATTAATAAACAAAGGACAGGTGTTTTTTTTTTCCTTCCAATTGCAGTATTTCCCCCTTAGCATACTTTTAATAACCGTATATTTGAGTATAGGAGAGCTTGCTGAAGGAGGTCATAGGGCTGATCACTGCCCTCCTCGGCTCCAAACTGTCAGCACAGTGGGGCAAGCACAATTAGACTGTGGCTTCAGCCAGATCCCTACCCCTAAGGCCTTTATTTGTTTTTGAATATTAATGAGGTGGAGAGCCTGTGTGGTTTTTGCAAGTACATGTTAGGAAAGGAAGAGAAGAAGGAGAAAGAGGATGAGCTGGGTTTCCCAAGAAAGAAAATTTCGTAGAGAAGCTGGAGAAGAATGTCCCTCTACCAACCCAGAGTACATCCGTAGTTCACGTTATGCTAACACAGCATCTCTGTGTAACCTTCCAGGCAATGGCCACGCTGCATCCCGTTTCTGTTCATCTTTAGAGGGGGCTTGGATCTGGAGGCTTGCTTGTCTGGGAAGCCTACATTGGAAGACTTGACATCTTTGAGGTTAACCCTCGGGACTTTATGATCCTAGATTTGAGATTTGGGCTGAGAAGAGAGGGCAGGTGTACTTGAGCAACGTCACAACTGAAAAGGGAGAGAAAGGAAGAACTAGGTAGAGGGCACAAGTCCAGCCTTCACACTATGACTAGCCAGAGATTTTTCAAAATGATTTCGAATCGCATGCACTTTTTGGATATGTGAGAGCATCTCCAAGTATCAAGAAAGTGAACTGAATGTTTCAGATGTTTGGAATTATTCCAAGGCCAGTAATTCCAGATGTTTGTAAGGAAGCCAGTGCCTACTCTGTTTAAATATTCAAGGGGGTTTTAAGAGCTTAAGAGGAAAAAAAAGGCATGCCCCTCAATTCTTCCTTTATAAAAGCAAGCCAGCACCTATGCCATAAGGCTATAAGGAGACGGACCCTAAAGTCACTGCTGAGTCAATAAACGAGCATCTTCCTGTGCTCCTTGATCCTCCTGCCTCTCACGGCTACTGTGGCACAAAGATGCGAAACATTTGGAAGCACACAGCATTACACAAAATGTAGAGTATTCTTACCATTTGTCACTGCAGATAGTGAATCAATAATTATCGCTGTGATGGAGGCCAGATGTGAATAATAACCAGGGCTCCTGGCCATCTGTCCCCCCCATAACCAGACTTCCCCTCCTCTTCTGGACAGCCGCACGAATCCCACATGTCTTTAAAATAAGAACTCGCCTTCTACAAATGTCTTGTAAGAGTGCCAGTGTTATGATAATTCATTTTTCACATGAGACACATGTCGTTTTCCTTCCATATTCCTGATTTCATGTCAGGTATTCACCATGATGAGAGTTTCTTGGCTCTCCCAGGCAAGAATCATCCAGATTGGAAAAACTTCCAGGATCTACACATGCAAACCTAACAGTTTGGCTTTCGGTTTATTCAGAATTAATAAATTTAGACCATCTATTTTTCACTCTCTGACAGTACCTAGTCCTTTGTTAAGGGACATCCTCCTTCCCAAGCTCTAAGCACCCAGCACTGCCATCAGAGAGAAAGAGAGCGACTTAGCGCTGAGGCTGGCAGTCTGAGAATCAGGTGCCCTTCTGCCTTTCCCAATGGAAACAAGGGCAGCTTCAGGGCCAGCTAGGGCCCTACAGGAGGCCCTTCCACCAGGGAAGGCCCTTCTCTGTGCGGTCCCTTTGGGGGACCGGGCAGATGGAGCTGGGGCTCCCGTCCCCGAAGCAGGCTGAGGAGACCCACAAGTCTGCAAGAACTTACTGAGTGTCACTGACTCGTTGATCTTGAAGCTGCAGAGGACCCTGTCCACGTTTCGGGCGTGTCGGAAGCCATTCCCTCTTACGACGACTTGAAATGATTCTGAAAGGAAAAAGGACAAGTCATGTCATCTGACTGCAGTTCGTCATCCTTACATTTTCCATCTGCCCTGATGTAGGGCATTTGTGAACTGTTTTACCAGGCTTCAGATATTCGGACACTGGTTCCCATCGGAACCCCAAACCATGTGGGTGCCTTTTGCCACCTACCACCTCCTTCTCACTAGGTGTCCATGAGGAAGGCGTACGACGTCTTACTTTGAATTCCTACCTTCTTGCCTTTGCCCTTGCTGTTCCTCCTACCTGGAATGCCCTGCTCCCCCCTTCTCTGTGCATTCAAATCTCACCCACCTCTCCAAGTCCTGGCAGTATTAAAAGCTGTGATACCTGCAGTCAGGGGGCCATGGCGGAGGGGGCGCTCCACCTCTCCTCCAATCAACTCAGCATCTCTTGTGTCTGGAATCCCCTGAAAGAATTTCTTTGGAGCCTGAGGTGCTTAATTTTTTTTTTTTTTTTTTTTTAAATCACTGCCTTATGACAACCCAGTCTATCTCGAATGGTGTGGGAAGGAATTATGTGCTGTCTTGTGGTGGTGTCTTTTCTTCCACCACTAGAAAAATGTTCCATTAAGTCAGGAATGATCTGATACTGCTTCTGGCCCTCCTGTCTCTGCTGGGCATACAGCATAGGAGCTAGGATTATGTGGGAATGGTTGTATTAGCAACAAATCAAAATCTTGCTTATCCAGTAGTCACTGTCCTGCATTATATACTTGAACTGACAATGGCCCCTCAGTGTAGCACTGGCTTCTCTCTAAACAGAAGAGAGAATGTAACTTGCAGGTCTCTGGCCCTGCAGGTTAATTTCACATTGGCACAATGCATGTTGAACTCTTATAGGTTGAAAAAATCCTTATGGAGTAAAAATAATGATCCTTCACAATAGTCTTACAAAAAGGAGAAAACCCAGCTAAATTATTAGCTAAATGTTTAGAAATACTTGCTTAATTTGATAGTAACTAATAGTCCATGCTCTATTTTCTTCTTCTTCTTCTTCTTCTTCTTTTTTTTTTTTTTTTTTGGTCTTTTTTTTTTTTTTTTGTACTATGTTATGTTAGTCACCATGTCATTCTTTTGTGTATAAAAATTGGGGCTTTGGATTATGCTGGGTGGTATCTAAAAAAGAAATGGATTAAAAGTCGGAGGAAAAGGCAGTATTTGTGAAAGTGAATCCTGAACTGTAAATCACTATTCAAATGGACACCTTTGTTGGAGGAAGAATGGAATTAGAGAACTAGCGTAAGGGACTCTTCCAAAGTTTAATAAATGTCACGAGTGTAAGTCACCTTCATTCCCAGGAAACTAATTTAGAGATCATGTATGCCAAGATAAAAATGCCGGATGCTAATTGCTCCCTCATCGTGTGCCAAGCCCCGTGCTAAGCCTAGTATATGTCCAAGGTCATTTCAGCCTCACCACAGCCCAGGGAGGTACAAATGAGAAAACGGATCCGAGTGGTGTTCGGTAATTTGTCCCAGATCTCATGGTTAGTAGCTGTCAGAGGAGAGCTGGAATCCAGGTGTCTTGGCATCAAATGCCATGCCCCGAGGACTCGGCCATTATGCTGAAATGGATCCTCATTGTCTTGCGACATATGACCAATTTAGAGACTGATGTGATTTTTAAAAAAGGTTTATTTTATTTCAGTTTCAGGCAAGTTTGCAGAAAAGTGGGGCTGGCCTGGATGGAGAAAAAAGAAAGTGAAACCCAAGCAAGAGAACCCAGAGGCACCGTCTGTGCCACGAAGAATACTAGAACAGAATGCTTTTTGAAGTATGAAGGACCTTAACAAACAAGAAATTGAGATTTGACATTTTAAATGACTGGCCCAAGGTCATGTAATTTGTAAGAAGCAAAACGGGGAGGAGTATCTGAGTGTTCCCTGCCTTAGTTGTGTACTGTAGTAGTTCAGGTCATGAGCAAATGGTTTTTCAGGATCCCAAGTCCTACGAATATTAAGGATTAACATATGCATGTAGATGCTTCTGCACGACTGCTAAGTTTAGATGGATGGTCTTAATAATTTTCCTTAGAAGCCTGCCAGGCATGTAGCTGATGCCAGTTGCTCCAACATGCATTCTGTGTCAAGCATTGTGGAAGAATCTTACTATATCTAATTTACTCCTTTAAGCCTATGGAAAGCTATTTCTGTTTTTTATTTTGAATGTCAGCCATCCAGCAATCTGCCGTGGCACACTTTTTGCTGATGCTACATGTTTTCGACCTCACTGCTGTGCTCCTTCTCTTGTTTCCTCAAACATTAGCGGAAGGAGACAAGACTCTGGAAATGCAGGCCCCGTGCCAAGCTCTCTTCTCTAACACCATGTTCTAGCATTACGAGTTCAGCTGCTGAGTCCTCTGCAAAAAAAATGCTGCCCACATGTCTGCTGGGCCTGACCTCAGGGTGTTTAGAAAGAAAGACAGCCGGAATCCAAGACGCGGCGATGGTGTAAAGGGAACCATTTAACCTCCTCGGCCAGGGGAACACATGGCGGCAACGATGCTGGGCGCTCGGGGAAGCACACGGAGCCAAGGCGTGCTGCCCCCGCTGCTGGGTACGGTTTCTGTGCTCCCGCGCACATTTGGTTTCCAGAAGAGCCCCAAGGCCTGACCCTGCAGCCCGACCGGAATGTCAGCTCTTCGCACATACAAGTTATGTAACCAAACTGTCTCATGGCTCCGCCAGCCAGTGAGAACCAGGACACGTGATTCCAGTTCATGTATCCGGAAAGCCCTGGGCCCGCCTCCCAGGGTATGTACAGCTCCGTGTCTTCAGGCAATTTGCCTGTTGGGTGACTGCTCCTACAAGCAGTGCTGAGGGGCTGTATGGCTTCAGGGAGGAATTTCGACTTGAAAATGATCTTCGATCCAATGTTTAAAGATATATATTCTTTGAGGTACATGTTTATTATGATTCTTTTGTCATTTTAAAAACAGATTTTATTTATTTATTTGACAGACAGAGATCACAAGTAGGCAGAGAGGCAGGCAGAGAGAGAGGGAGGAGGAAGCAGGCTCCCCGCTGAGCAGAGAGACCGATGCGGGGCTCGATGCCAGGACCCTGAGACCATGACCTGAGCTGAAGGCAGAGGCTTTAACCCACTGAGCCACCTAGACGCCCCTCTTTTGTCATTTTATTCTCAATTATAATTTAAACTTCCTGATGGTAGAGGCCATCATTTCTGTCTCTTTAAAATTTTTGGCTGTGCCTAACCCAGGGCTGAGTCAGCCTCGGTACTGACTGAATACTTGAGTGACATATCTTGGTATAGAAAGGGAGTAAAGAAGAAGCAGAAGGTGGTCATTCATTCGTGTAAGGTCAGGTCTAGTCCTGCTTATTTTCTTAGGCTTCATAAAGTCAATGAATGGAAAGATGCTCGACACCGTTAGTCATTAGGGAAACGTAGATCAAAACCACAAGGAGCTATCACTTCATACTCACTTGAATGGCTATAATAACAGAGAGGGACAAAAACAAGTGTTGGTGAATAAATTAGACCCCTGATAGCTTGCTGTTGGGAATGCAAAATGGTGCAGATGCTTGGCCAAATGGTTTGGCGGTACCTCAAGAAAGTAAACATAGTTACCTTATGACCTGAAAATTTCACTCTTATGTACATATGCAAGAGAAATGAGCATGTATGTCTACGCAAAAACTTGTATATGCTCATGATAGCATTATTCATAATAGCGAAAAAGTAGAAGTGATCCAAATGTCCATCAACTGATGAAGATGGTATTCAACCAATGGAATATTATTCACCCACAAAAGGAAGCAAGTTCTAATACATGCTATGACATGGAGGAAGCTTGAAAACATTATGCCAAATGAGAAAAGCCAGACACAAAAGGCCACATAATGCACAATTCCATTCCATTCCCTTACCATATGAAAAGTTGAGCAAATCCATAGAGAAAGAAAATCAACTGGCAGATGCCAGGGCTGGAGGGAAGGGGAGTGACTGCTTAACGGGTGTAAGGTTTCTTATACCCATTGATGAAAATGGTGATGAAAATATTCTGGAATTAGATAGCAGTTATGGTTGTACAACTTTATGTATATAATAAAAACCATTGAATTGCACTTTTTGAAAGGGTGAATTTTATGGTATGTGAGTTATAGCTCAATTAGAAAAAGAAAAAATAAAGTCTCTGAATAGTTGGATAAACTTATTTTATTCTCTTCCTTTTGTTTCTTTGCTTTTCTTTTTTTTTCCTTTTTTTTTTTTGAAATGTTGAAAACGTAGTTTTGAGATGACCTCAGTAAAGATCACCTTTTCTTCACTCAAAAGATCACCTTTCCTTTCACTCATCTGAAAATGAGACATCTGTACGACTTCCATTTGCTCTGGTCTCCTAAGACTTTTGGGCAAAATTATTGCTACTATTGTTTTACCTTGCGAGTTAGTTCAAATTTGCTTTCCTATTAGATGCTTAATGTGACAGGAAACATAAATATAATAGAGACTGATGTGTGTTAAGTGCCTTCTGATACTTAAATTATTCTAGAACTTTTTAATTTTACAGCTATTTAATTAAAACAGCATATTATAAAAGGAAGTATGAGTGCCACAGAATAACTTGCGTGTAAAGTATATAATTTGACAAATTTTGACATATGTATGCAATCACAGGACAATACCACCATCAAGATAGTGAACACATCCATCACCCTCAAAAGTTTCCAAGTGCCCCTTAGTAATCTCTCACTCCTGCTCCTCCCCAGGACTGAGCAATCACTGATCCCAAGCAACCACTCATCTGCTCTCTGTTGCCGTATAAGTTTGCATGACCTAGAATTTCATGTAAATGGCATCATACAGTAAGTATATTTTTTGTCTGGCTTCTCTTACTCAGCATAATTACTTAAAAACTCACCTATAATTACTGAAATTTATACATAGTCTATTCCTTTTTATTGCTGAGTATCATTCTTTGCACGGGTAAACCACAATGTTTTCATCCATCACCTGTTGATGAACATTTGAGTTATTCACAGTTTTTGGCTATTAAGAATGAAGCAGATGTAAACATCTGTGTGCTGGTCTCTGTCTGGACATGGACTTCCTTTTCTCTTGGATAAACACCTGGCAGTAGGATGGTCAGGTCAGACGATACATAAGTGTAAATTTAATTTTTAAAGAAACTGTCAGGACTATTTTCCGAAGTGATGGTGTCATTTTACATTTCTATGACCAGTGTCTGGGAGTCCCTCCTCCAAACAGAAACATCTTTAAATGCAAAGGAAGGGCCAAGCAGAGAATGAAAAAAGCCATTCTACACTGATCTTAGCCAAAAGGCGGAGAAGCAATGAAACAAGCCATTCTAAAGAGGTGCCTAAGGGCCAGGCCTGAGCTCTTTGAAAAACAATGAAATGTGAAAGAAATGAAACCACTGTTTGATGTTGCCTAAAACTGTCTGCTTTAAGCATCTAAGGCCAAATGGTAAACAGGAGGCCTAAAACTGCCTTCTTTTTGTGCGAACCCGCCCAGTTTTACTACCAGCAGTGGGAAACACAGTAGGAATGGTACGGTTGCTTCTGAAAGGACAATGTGAGGAGCTAAATATAAACTCCTTCCGTGTCTGGAGTGCAACAACTTCATGTGTAGAGCAGTTGGCAGGTTGCACACTTGATTCCAATTAGTTCCTTCCTGGAGAACTTGCTTACTACATAGAACACTGAGTGATTCAAGTTTCAGGCCAACAGAGTGGGATGGGAGGGAAATTATACTTCGGCAGAGGGCACATTTTCTGGAGAGGAGCTAAACAAGGCAAGGCCAATCTAACAAGGGGGCAACGCCCCTAATTACAGAGGCTAATCAGCAAAAATATTTGATTAAGAACTTTTTAAAAAAGAGGCAGAATTATTTAAAAGCAGGTAATGGCAAAGGGGCTCTAAAGACTCTCCACAGCAGGTGACTTCTTACATGTTTTAAAACAGGAACTGTAAATACAGTAAATATAGTTGCAAGCACCATGCAAAATAGTAACTGTACGCTTGACCTGGGTATTGTGGTGTAATAGGGAATGGTGGGGAGTATGGTGAACTGCAAAGAGTCCATGCTTCTTTTAAAAAGGGAAGTTATTCAGTCTCCAGTAATCATCCCCTTGCAATAAATGCAGGCCCAGTGTTGTTAGATTTGATTTTTAAAGACAAGGTGGAAATCTGAATTTTTAGGTAAAATCAGATTTTCAAATGTTAGCAATATGTGTGTGTGTGTATATATATATATATGTGTGTGTGTGTATATATATACACATGTATATATATATATATATTTTTTTTTAATGTAGTGTAGATCAAAAAGAACCTGTGTACAGACCAGAGAAGGCGTGTAGGCTGCCCATTTATAACCTCTGGCAGTGGAGGAGTTCTGGGAAGTCTCTCTCTCCAAATAGTTAAACTCATGACATTGAATGAAATTCTTTTTGATTAGAGCAGATTAGATACTCTCCTTACTCCCTTTCCCCATTAAGACTTCCAGTTAAAATGCAAAATAGCTCCAGGTATACTGGACTCTTTGCCATTTAAAAAAAAAAATCAGCCATTAATGCCTCAGCTGGAATTGAATTAAGACTTTGGAAACTCAAAGTCATAAATAACATCCAAAGGGGGATTGCATAGTGTTACAGAGGGCCACTGCTCACATAATTCTAAGGGTGGAGAGTTCAGACCATCCACTCCACTGCTGGAAAGTTTTAGTTGTAAATGTTCCATGTGTTAAGCCAAAATTTGCCTCCCTGATTTCCTCCCCAGCTTCTCCGTGGTGGTCTCCTGAAGCTACACATAATAAGCATAATAATTCCTTTCCACACGGGAATTCTGTAATATATCTGAAGATGCTCTTGGAAGTGTCTCCGTTCTGTGTGTAAATCTCCGTGGTTACTTCAGTCCTTCCTCATTCCACCAGCGTCTCATCACCACTCCTGCGGCTCTTGGAGCAGATCTCTGCTACAGTGCCTCACGTGTGGTTTGTGCCTTATCTGAACATGTGACCATCTTCCAGAATAGACCGTGAGGGTCATGGGTGGTTGGGAGCAAGCTTTCTGCATTTGTGTACTCAAATCTTTTCATATTGCGTGGTACATCATAGACAGTAAGCATTGAGGGAAAGAACGAAGGAAGGAGGCTAGAAAGAAAAGAAAAAGGGAAGGAAAGAAAAAGCAAGCAAGGAAAAGAAAGAGGAAAGTAGGAAGGAAGGGAGGGAGGGAGGGAGGGAGAAAAGGAAAGAAAGAAAGTAAGTGAATGAATTTTTAGCATTGTTTCCAGAGCCATCATCTCTTCTATGGGCATGACTTTGTCAGAGCCATTTTTAAAATGTGGGACTTGGAGCCATGGTCTGAACATGGAATAATAAGACATGAAATTAGCTCTCTTAACCTGGACACTGGATGGCTATTGATGCACCCTAAGATTATATCGTTGTTTTTTTTTTCCCCTCAGAGGTATTCCTGTTGGCTATCAAGATAGCTATCTTTCTCCTTTTGTTTTCTTTTTCCTGAAAGAACGGCTACTAAGTCGGGTCTCCCTAAACTGGCATTTGAACCCAAGTTCCACACTTGGTATTGGTCCCATTAAATTTCACCCTGTTATTTGCAGGCTGACCTGTGAAGATACATGTTGGATCTCAGTTTTGTTGTCCCCTCGGTGCATTATCTCGCTGCCTCTCTCAGAGTTCGGTTTGCTGTCACAACTACGGCTGTTGCTGCGTTGTGGGTGACAGCCAACTGAGATCATTGTCTTGGGGGAATGCAATTGTCAGCATCGAGTGTCCAGAGCAGGACAAGCCTGGGGGGAGCTTCGCAGCATGGGCTCCTCTGGGGGCCCAGGAAGGAGTACAATTCACAGAGACGGGCGGGGGCTGAGAAAGAAAGATTTCTAATGGAAGTGAATTTCACCTTTTCAATAGATTTTTCTAGGGCTCTGTCCCACCATGATACTTTAGAAATGCAGACACTCTATTGCTTCCTGTTTCTTTTTGCCTCCAACACATACTGAAGTAATCATTTTGCAGGTACTCTAGAATTTATCAGTGTTCTCCCTGGTTTTGTTTCAGTAGAGAAACACATGGGCATGCTTTTCTTATCTGGGTATGTTATCAACATGAGGATTCTCACATTGACCTTCAATCCTCATTACAATGATGCTGATAATAATAATGTCCCCTCGTTCTGTACAGCCAGGTGTCCTTTCAAAGCCCTCTCATGTAAATCCCTGGGTCTTTGCAGTAGCCAAATGAAAATCACCGAGTGGGTGTCCTCAGGTCTACCTGACAGGTGTTCACTGCCATGGACAATGAAATGGGCTCCAGTGCCTCAGGAAAGCCACTTACTCTAGAGAATAATCGGCAATAGACCTTCGGGGGAACCCATGGTAGAACTTGTGGTGTCATGGTATCTTTTGGAAGTTTCCTTTTCCCCTTTGTAAAGTTATTCTCTAAATATTATGTTTTAATCCTTAGAATTCTCATTCAAGAGAGCTGGGAGCTTGCCTTTTCCAAAAGCTAGAGCTAGCTTCCATTACTGTGTCTTGTATTAATTTTTTCTTCATAAAACATAAAGGAAATAGAATCGGGTAGTTTACTCTGATACAGGAAATTATTGCTGGCCTAGAACATATGTAGTATTGCAGATAAGCCAGAGATTTAAAAAATATCTAAAGAAAGCTTCCTTGGATCGGATTGACCAGAGATTTGTCTATTTTTATTGGTTCTACCGAAGAAATAGCTCTTGCAACGATTTATCAGTTGCATTGCTTTCATCTGTTTAAATTTATTAATGCATTATAATCTATTTTCTTGTATTTCCTTACTTTAAAAAGCATTTTACTTACTTCCTAATTACTTATTTTTCTTTTCCATTTTGTAAGAAACATTAAAATTGACAAATTTGCTCTTGTGGACCCTGTGCCATGTTCATCAAGTTTACCTATGTGATGCTTTTATTATCTCACATCTCAGTGGTATAAAAAGGAGATGTTGGTTTTTACTACTCATTGACTCAAGAATTATTTTGGAAGCTATTTTTCTGTTGTCCAGCTGGTGGAGGTTCTGTTTTTATTTTGGCCTTGTTCTATCTTTGGCCATCAGTTCCTGATTTTACTTTAATTAGACAGTTCAAAGGTGTGATATTAATTTCTTATGGTTAAGTGAAAGAGGTTAATACGGGTCAAATAGGCAAAATCGGTGCATTGTTTGCTGAGGAAATAAAGATTCGAGACATTCAGCCAATGTTCATTGTCTGATGGACCATCTATTAAGTGCCAGGTACTCTGTTAGGCAGATAAGATTGTCTGCAAGAGGGGAACTGATATGTTATGAATTAACAGGAATTGTATTGATTTTCTTTAGACTTTCTGATTCACTACGAAATTACAACACATCCAGTTTGCATATTGCTAAACCGCAAGTCTGGGTTTTCTTCATGGATGGGGTAATTGCATAATTAAGGAACTTCCCTATTTTCTAATTTTAAAATGAAGGACCTAAATAAATTGGGGAGGTGGATTTACTTGGAGCTAATGAACCCTAATTGAGGCTCCTCACTGCACAGACCCCTGATAAGGTCCTAGTATTGGGTACATGCGGTCACATGCTTTTGTCAAATTTGAGAAGGTAAAATTTTTCACTTCTTTTTCTTAACAGGTGGATCAGCTCCACTTCTTTTCAGAGCAGGATATTGGCAGTGATGTGTGGGAATCTAGTATTTCTGCAGTACTCTAGCAATTGGTTCCCATGAAAGAAGAGGATTTGGACAAGCTTTTTCAAACAACTGATACATAGCTTCTTTCTTTCTTTTTTTTCCCGAGCAGCAAATTTATTTAGCCATTTCTACTCTTCTTTCCACCCTCCTCCTTCTTCTGCCCTGTCTCCCCTCTTCCCCACCACTGAAATAAATGTGATTTGAACTCAAAATACCATCATTTCTAGGAGATTATTTAGTATTTAATTTACCTCCTGCACATATGGTGGATGGTTCAGCTGCTAAAATTTCGATGCAGGACTTCTTCAGAATCTAGAAAGAGAGGAAATCAAAGAGTCAAAGCACAGCTTACTTTATTAGAAGCAGGGTTTTGCTTTGAAGTTACCAAGACAGGAAGATTCAAGGATATTGTGCTGTGGTGGGTGGATGGGTGGTAACATCTTTACTAATATTACTAACATCAAACATTTAATGAGCCAACATTGTGCTACATGCCTCTGGGTGTCCCCGTAAGAATTATTCATTCATTTGTTCTTTCAGCAGATACTTACTGAGCCTATGATATGTCCGTCTTGGTTATGGAGATGTTTAACATCTGGTTAGGGAAATGGGAGTTACACTTGAAAGTATAAATAATGATGGTTTGTCACTGTGGTAGTTTCCAGGGTGAAGGGGTAGATAGTAAATCTGCAGAGTTCACGGGGAAAATCATGGAGGGACATTGGGACAGGCTTCATGAAAGCTGTGGGTGCTGAGGGTAGGACTCTGTCAAGTGGAGAGGAGTGAGTTAGGAGAAGGGTGGGATCCAGGCAAGGAATGGCACAAGCAAAGGCGAGAAGGTAGAAATACATAAACCTCTTTACTTGGAACAAAAGGAGCTTGAAAAGTAGAAATGAGAGTGATGATAGATAAAGCTGGAGAGGTAGGATGGAGAATCGTTTCCAGATTACTCCGAGTTCCACTTTTTGTTAGAAAAGTCTTGGAAAGATGTTTCAGGAGAGGACATTGAAGGCTGCCTGTTGTGCCTCACTCTTTGGACCCCGATAGTCTTATTTAAATGGAAATGGACTCTTTCCTCCAGAAGAGACTTGTAGGGTTGAGAAGAGAATGTCAACCCCATGACCGCACAGGGAGTTAATCAAGGCTGCTTTGGGCCAAGCAGGATATCTGCCTGGTAGGATGTAAGCTTCTCTCCACCATTTATGAATCCCGTGTCTTGCTGAATATTGATTCTCAAATTTCATCCAAGCATTTTAAACAAGTATAGGACACTGAGTTAATTTACCAAGCAAATGAAATCTCTTTATTTGGGCCTTAATTTGGAAATTGAGATGGTTCAGAGGGCTTTGAAAGAAATCATTTCTCTATTTATGAAAAGGGCATTTGTTGAAGGAATTAATAGTGAAATGATAACATTGAAAGTCTAGAAAAGAAAGCAAGCATCTTAGCATTGAGAAACACCCATTTATTGGCACTGATGTATTTATATATGCTTCTTTGTCCCAGCTCAAGTGATACAGACAACACGAGATACAATCAAATGAAAGATACGATAAATTACAAAAGGAGAGGACATGGGTTAAAATAAGGAAAAATAAGGGGAAGATGAAGTAAGGAATGAGAATGGCATAGAAAAAATATACTGGAAAGAGCTTATTTCCTTGCTAGGAGTGGCTCATGGATTTAGCTCTAAACTTTCTAGTAGCAGATGAGAAGGTCAGGCAATATTTATGAGAATCTCAATTGGTGAAATAAAAACAAATCCGTTTCTCAGAAGAGATAATATTTACCCATTCCAGAGAGAAATCTGGGCGTCCTCATAGAGAAGCATTGTGAAAGGAAATGGAGAACATGCTTCAGAAAATCTTTATCTGATATACAGATGACAACACACTAAAATGCAGTCACTGAAATAGGCTCTCACAAACACATGCTTTGGGTAAATCTACAGACGCGAAACTCATAAGAAGCACTATTTCTTTTTTTGACAATTCTAAAGTTCAGGTTTCCAGCTAACTTTTCCTGACATCTCTTCCCACTCTTGGTACAATCTGAAGGCATCTTTGTACTTTGATTCCTCTATTTGTTTTTGACTTCTACACGATTCCACAGTAGGGAGCAATTTGTTCCTATTTGTCAGTGCTTGGTTTATTTCTTGGACTCTGGTTTACCATGCCACAACGCCCCCCTCCCCATAACCTCAAACACTGGTATAGCCTCAGATCCCCACTGGTGCGGGAGCCTGTTCTGATAGCAGAGCACACATGCACTGAGCTCCCCAAGTCCGTGCCAATCTTGGGTAAGCGAGTGGCCCTCACACACCTGGCCCTGGGGAGCTGGTATCACCCCTGAGCTCCTGAGTTCCCTTCACTGTCATTCTGACTTGGGATCAGGGACTCCAAGGATCTATGCGGGGCATCCATGTTTCCGGGCTGCTTCTCCACCCTCCCCATTCCAATGGTTTATCCAGCCCTTTAGGTCTCTTATGTAGGTAACAATGTCCTAGGACGAGGGCTTGCCAGAATCCTGGTGTGCAGGGACTCATCTCCCGCATGACGACTGTCCTACTTGAACTGCGAGGACTGTCCACGCCCTCTCCCGACCAAGTCTGCTGCCCGAAGAGCCACCTCAGCCAGTGGCTGCCTTGACTGAGGGAGGTACCGCCCTTCCGCATGTCCTTAGGCACAAATCTCCAAACAGGACACATTGGAAGAAACAGAATTAACCCATATGGAAAAACTTAGTAAACAGTGGCATTAGAACAACACAAAGCTTTTTTTTTATGTTTTAAATAAAATTCCTCAGGCATTTGGCATCTCTTAATAAGTCATTTTATCATCCACAACTAAAGATTTCAAAATAATCCCAGAATTAAAATGGAGCTATTGGATCTCTCTTGTCCCCGTTCCCAAACTCCATCAAAACACGTAAATGAAATTTTCGCCCATGTAAGTTCCTGACTTTGAACCAACGATTTTGAACCAACTTTTAATATTTAACCAGGGATTTGGTAAAGGAAACACCCGTGAATCTCGGGCCACAAAGACACACCAGCAGGTTTTGTCATAATAAACACACGCTGTATTATTCTCTTGGAGTGTCTGCAATTAGTTGATAAATCTAAGGAGTGTATGAAGGGCCAAAAAATGTCAGCCAAGCTCTGTGATTCAGTCCAGTAAAAACACAGCTTTCCCAATCTTAACTTAAAACATCTGGAAGGGACGCGTTGCAGCCAGTAGAGCAAAATTTATCAGTGAGGGGGATGGGCAGGATCTGTCTGGGACTGCGGCTTCTATTAGTTTGAAATGTCTGGCTTTAAAAGGTAGGAAGTCATGATGGCAGAAGGTGGATCTGGGGGTTCCCTTGTTATTAGCAGCCGAGACTATAATCAGTGTGTCTGAGCTGCAGCAGACAACAGGTCGGCTTCCGTGTCTGGAGACGGGATGGGGGTTGGGGGCGAGGGAGCAGAGGATCTGTCCCCAACCTGAGCAGGGGTAACCGTGGAAGAGGTACAGGTACAGTATGGGGAAATCGCTTGAGGGAGCGAAACAGACTCACACAGGGCCAGGGTGATGGCAGAGGTGAGAGTACGTTGGCTTCTGATGGAGACTGGGCGAAAACCACCACATGCCTCGAGTATAATCCAATGTGAGGAGGGCTCTTGGCTCTGGTTCTGTACTTACTGACCTATGGTCCTTGACATATCCTTTAATTTTCCTGAATCCTAATTTTGGGGAGCAGTTTAATGTACAGAATATAGCCTGGCATCTGGAATCAAATTGCTTGGGTCAACTCCCTCATGAGCGAGCGAGCGGTGTGACCTTGGGCAAGTTCAAACAACCTCTCTGAGTCTCTGTTTCCTCATTTATAAAAGTGGGGTAGGAACAGTACCTACTGCAGAAGGTTGTTGACTTGGGAAGATTAAATGAGATAATACTGGCAGAGACCACAGCACAGTGCCCAGAACCTGGTAAGTTCTCAACTAATGTAACCATTATTCTTAAGAACTTGGGCTCAGGAAACAAAACAATATACATTTGGGCTCTGAATAGATTTATGTTCAAATCTAAGCCCTACCACTTCCTGGCCACGTGGACTTGGACAAGTTATTAAAGCTCAGTTTCCTCTTCTGTAAAAGGGGGATAAAGAAATACACTGACCTCACAGGGCTGTATGATGGTAAAATGAATGATCGATAATAAATGCAGAGACATTTAGCTTGGACTTAGGTGGTCAAATTCACATAGGACTGGAGAGTTGGGAAGGGAATGAGATCAAGGAAAACTGGCAGAGTTTTTGTCTCATAGACAGAGCTACACAGATGTGATCAGTCAGTAGATAGTCATTTAACAACCCTTGGGCCACCAACCAACAAGTGCCCTTCATGAAAATAAAGCACCAAGAAATGTGCTCAGAACATTCTTAGCAGTAAAGCACTTAGGAGAATGTCTTGACATATATTCGGTTCCAGACAATGGTAGTGGATACTATGACTTGTGATAATACTGTTATAGCTACTTCTCTTGGCCAGAGAAAGTAGCTCATATATATTTCTATCCCATCACCCACCACTGGCTCTTGCTTAATCATACCTGCTGGAAAAAAACCCAGAGGGTGGTTGATAATATTTTTCTGTCATCTTTTGGACAGATTTCAAAAAGAAGATAAATGGCAAAGCACATCTGAAATCTACAAAGAACTGTATCAATGCGATGTGTTGCTACTGGTATGGTTATGTTTGCTCATCTCATTAGATCGTTGGGGGAGTAAGAGGAAAAGCAGATGTAAAAAAACTTTGCCAAGTAATAAAAACCATTCAATAAATTTAAAGTGAAATCGATTATGGACCAGTCCAGGTTGCATATAAGAGTTTATTTTTTTGGATTCTAAAACTCTAGCGTTCTTTTGCATAAAGTTCACAGTTTCTGCCAAGATTTCTCAAGAATCCTTAAATAATTGTACATACTCACATAGAGTTATCAGGAACCTCTCCCTTACCATACACATCCCTAATTTTTTTTTTTCTGTAATTGCTCTGCCTCCTTCCCCAATAAACAATCGATTTTTATTTACTTGGCCATTTCCTGTTAAAAGATTTTTTTGTGTCTGTAAATAAAGACATGTCTCTTTTATCCATTCATAGTATAGGGACCTTTTGCTTCCACTCATCTTTTGAAAAGTCTTTCAGAGCATGTTTCTTGGTGTTTTCATTGTTGTGAAGGGCACATTCTGGTTTTAAGATTTTTGGAGCTAGAAGTATGCTGGCCAAAAGTCAGTTAACTACCTCTTGCCTGGTTATGTTCTTTAAGACA